CGGTTTGCTGCTGGAGGTGCTCGGCCCCTCGCATCAGGTGAGGAATAGTTCCCGTTGTCATGCACTGGTTATGAAATTAATGGGAATGTTGAAGTTGGGGTGGGGGGGTGGCTTGAGCCATTCTGTTCCAGGCGGTGACTAATGGAGAAGACTATTCTGTATCACGGCAGAAGAAAGCACAGCTTGTGTCTCCAATGAAGCTGGCTTTTCTGAGATGTGAATAAGACCTTTCACTTAATGCACATTGCTATAGTGCCTTTATAACTAGTTAAACCTACTGAAACTAAATAGACAAGCTTTATGTTTACGTATGCACGGACATGCAGAAATATGTACATTTTTACATGTATGTGTTTTTATATATATATATGTGCTTATATTCAGCGAAGTCGTGAAGGGGAAGGTTGGGGATCGGAGGAGCAGCCAAGGTATCCATCAGGATGGGAAAAATGCAATTTCTGAGCTTAGACTAGCAATTCAGTGTGAATGCAGATTTAAACCAGGTGAGGGAAAGCTCCCTGTGGAGCTGCTGTCAACAGAAGCTGCTGGGACAAATCCAGAAAACTCTTGCAAAGCCAGGCTTTGGTATGGCATCTAGGAAGGTATCTTCACGAGAAAGTTTGTGACTTGGGTGTTTCTGACCAATTACCATTGCTCGTATTTTCTGCTAGCAAGGCTTGTCTTCGAAGGGAGTTTACCCAGAGAATTTAAAGCTGTTTGAGTGGGCCAGCTCTGGAGGATTACTAGCTGTGCTTTGAAACCTGGAAGGATGATTAGTAAGCTTTCTGGACAGCTCTTTCATGCTTTTCCTTGCGTTTATCTTCTTTGCATGGTGCTTAGCTCGTAGTGGCACAGGGACCCCAAATATCCTCCAGACAGTTACACCTGCTCCTGAACTCTCTGGATGCCGCTTCTGTACATTACTTCTGGTTTTGGCTGTTTGACTGACACAGTTTCTGGGTCTCATTGTGTTGCCTAACTAGATTCTGAAAGAAAACACCTTGTGACTGGTGCTCCTTGTTCGTATTTAGCAAAGTGAAAACAAGGATTAAGTGTGAAGACCTGTGGTGGGGACAGCTGTGGTGAAGGACTTTGCCTAAAGTGTTTGCACCCCAGAGTTCCAAAGATTTCTCATCTTTAGGTGAATTTAAAATGGCAATTGTTTGTCAATCTATATTTGTAGTGAAGGATGGATTATGATCAAGGATTTTACTTCCTTAAATGTAGTCTGTATTTTTTTATGCTGAATGTATATTTTATACATATATAATAGTAGATCATTCTGTTTCTTCTGCTGCATAGCTAATAGTCTGTCCCATTCTTTTAATCAGAAAAAAATATCAGAAATATCACTGATGAAATGAGTGTTTTATTTTCTAGGGAGGACTGTAAAGAGAGCTGAGAATGAGATGGACTTACCATGAAAGACCTGAAGCTCTTGGGATGTACATTATCAATGAGCTGCAGATGAACAGAGTGTATGCCTCAGAGGATGAAAGGGAATGTGGACTGGGACTCTGACAACAACATTTGTGACACAGGTGAGAAGCATTCAAATTATTCCAGAAAGACCACTAAACAGGTGGGCCACACGTCTAGCCTCCTGAAGGAGGTAAACATGAATTATTCGCAGACATGCAGTCCTCGTTGCAACTCTGCTGGACCTTCAGATAACCAGGAGCTTCCTGCAGAGTTGCACTGTGAAGACGAAGAAACCTTTGAGACCTATCACCAGAAACGAGGTGAGGGTACAGCTGGGATATTTGTCCCCTCCAGTACCGACTTTGACCTGCAGTATGAAGATAAACCTTTAGAGCCCTGTTCTTCTGAGCGGTCCAATAAACCATGGAGAAGAATGCATGACGATAATGAAAATACTGTTCTTGCTGCTGTGTTTGATGAGGACCTGGAGCCTGTCTCTGAGGAAGCTTTGTCATATCGGTGCAAGAAGTGTGGTTCCTCTTTCCAGGGTATGAAAGAGCTGCAGGAACATAAGCGAACTCACCTTGTGGAAAACTCCTACCGATGTCCCATCTGTGCCAAAGAGTTCTTCCGTGCGGCAAATTTGCGAATGCACAAGCTCATTCATTCTAGTGACAGGCCACACAAATGTCCAGAGTGTGACAAGGGTTTCATTCGCACGGCTGATGTCTGGAGGCACCTACGCAATGTGCACAAGATAGAGCGCTCCATGGTGATCCTGGGAAACGGCATGGCGAGGAACCCATGGTCTGTAGTGCACCGTAACCAACACGCTGCTGAGTACACTGATCAGCCTTGTGCAGAAAACCGAAAGTCTGAGGAAGACGACTATAAACCTTATGCCTGTCCAACGTGCGGCAAAAGTTTTGATAAGCCTAACCTGCTTTCCAAACACAAAGTGATCCACCGACAAGACAAGCCCTATAAGTGCGAGGAATGTGGCATGGCGTTCATCCAGCTGCTCAGGCTGAAAAGACACCAGCAGACTCACTCTGGGGAGCGTCCCTTCTATTGCGAGGAGTGTGGAGGGACGTTCACCCGGCTGGCATCGCTCCACCGCCATCACCGCATTCATACTGGGGAGAAGCCCTACTCTTGCAGTTACTGTGGTCATTCCTTCACTGAGTCAGGTACTCTACGGAGGCATGAGCGCACACACAAATTGGATAAATCTTAGTTTGTGGTTGTGATCTTTTTGGTTTCTTCTTACCTGAACAAGGCTGCTCAGTTGGGCTGAAGAAAGCACTCCACTGCATGCGCTCTGGCCAGTCCAGACCCACTTCTCAGCAGTAGCTGGCAGGGAACACTGCATCATGGGGATTTCTGGAACTTGTACTGGTAGAGATTGTACTCACTGGCTTTAGACTGGCTTTGTATGAAAAAGTAACGTAATTACCACTAAGTAGTGAAATGTGGGACTTGAGAAGACTGAAATCACTCACGTGCTCGCACTGTCTCAGTTTGCTGAACTGACAATGCATCAGCTTGAGCTTTTTGCAGGGATGTGTGGGCTATGAGACTTTTTTCTGCAGTCTTGGTCACTGGATAAATTGGCCCTGCCCTTTTGAGTGCGATGTGTCTTTGGCACTGGGTTTGGAGATGTGTTGTTGGAGTGTTGTGATTTAGCAAAGACCTGCAGAGTTGTCCCTCTATCCTTTCTCCCCTTACATTCTGCTGAGTTTTTCTTTCCATTACTTTTTTTTTTATTTGGAGGGGAAGTATCATGTTTTGGGTACTTAAAAAACAAAACCACAAAACAGTTCCTTAATAAACTCAACTGTTACCAGCTGCATTTCATGAGTGTGTCTATCTAAGGGAGTACCGATCTCTTATGCACGTTCGTGTGATGAGTTGAATGTGTTCATAATGGAAAGAGTTTTCTTTTTGCTGTGATGGTGCATGTTCTGGTGTGAGGAAATTAACTACATTTGTGTCTCTGATGGAACTATGCACTCTGAATCTGTCCAGCTGAGTATTACAGTAGCAAATGTTTGAGGACACAAAATTGAAAGAGCAGGAAAAAGGCCAAATTGAAGCCACTTTTGCTACTCATTGCATAGGAGTTGTCTTCGTTTAAACATTTTCACACATAAGGAAGCTTCTCTAACAAAACCGTGTTTTGTGTTCTGTGACGTGTCCGAGTACTACTCGAAGTGTCTGCTAGACTCTTCACTTTGATTTAGATTCAAATGTTTAGTGAAGAAAAATTTCCTTAGAAACTAGCCCTGCAGACTCAGGCAGGTGCTGCCAAATACCCCAGGGTTGTAGCTTCCAAAGCGGTGTGTATTGCCTCAGTTAGGGCAGTGGGGTTTTTAACTTTCAGACTTAATAATGACACTTAATGTACTGTGGCAGAAGCATCCAGTTTGTCCTGAAGTTGGGGCCCTAATTTCCTTTCTGTGTCAGACAGCTTAGCTTCCTTTCCTCTGCCAGCTGCTATAATTTCACTAATTTCTTTCTAATGCGT